AGACAAAAATCAGGTCGAGCGTGTGTCCCCTGTTATAGGTGGGGTCTTGAATTAACTGAGTTAGGTCCATAGCCGTCATGAAAGCCATGAACTCCCGAGCTGACTCGGATGTCTCGCCAATGGAAGGCAGATTGAAATTCCCCAGGATCATAAGCCTGGGGGAATCAACCAATGTCATCCAAAAGTGTCACTAATGTTGTTTGCATCCTGTATCTGGGCTTGAAACCTGACTAGAAGAGGTCCACATTAATCTGTTTTATCCAGGATCCCCTGGAGCTACAGTGCAATCACCTCCTCCTCAGTCAGCACTCCTTCCCTTCTCTTCTCTTCCCGGTCTTGGAAATGTATATCAGGTTGGCAAGATCACAGATAAGCGGTGTTTTATTATTGACCAAGCTGGCATTAAGCAGTAGCAGTAGCCAAAAGCCAGGGCCTCAGTAGGCCTACTGACCAGGAGGTATATTACAGGAGGTAGGAATTTTCAGGATGCTTTGGATGGGAAGATCTCTCTTCAGATAAATAGTCCTAAAGATTTAAAAGGCTCCAAGTCATATAGAGCTTCTCAGGTTAAAAGCAGCAACGTAGGCGGAAAAGGTGAAAATCTATATCTTCCAGAGTTTTTTGTAGCTGATGTCCCACCAAAAGGTCAAGAACTATCCAAAAGGGGAAAGTTGGAAACGGCTTAAAATGACTGAATGCAGGACTGACTGTTTAAAGAAAGGAGTTACAGCAGTGTCTTTTTCAAAGACTGCAGCATCTCCTCCTTACATAACGAAGCATTCACCAGTTTCCACCATGACTGCTATACTCACTTCCTTGAGGGAAGGAAGAGATACAAATCTAATAAATAAAAGTTAACAGTCAGAAAACCTTTCTGCTTGTTTAAATATACCACATAATCAAGGTAGCAAAACTTGATGGACCAGAAAAATCAATCATTATTGACAGTTAATTATTGCCCTCAAAGCACTATACTAGCACTTGTTTCACTCTCTTCAACAACACTTCTATCAACAGACTCTTTTGAAGAGTCAACTTTTTATAGTACAAAATATCTGCATGCCAGCAACAGCATGCAAGTTGCTATGAAAAGCAGGAACATTTTCTTTCAACAAACACACACAATAGTACTTCATTCTTGGGTCAAAGTTTCAATGCTATGCATGCAGCATAATATATTGTACACCCCAATCACAAAAGGATGATAAAATGACCATTGGCTTAACTGAAGGGTTGTTTTCTGGATGCTGCGAAGGAGAGTCGAAGCATGGGTTAAATACAGCCAATCTGCCCAGGACTGAATTGAAACTTTAAGCCACGCCTCTGGTGCTGACTATTCTTCAGATTTTTCTCAATGAAGACGTGGAGATTGCGCGCTGAGAAGTTCAAGAACAAAGCCATACAAAGTCTGAGTCACATGTCCAGTTCAAAAGTCTGCAACAAAAGGTGGAGACAGACCCCAGGGTGGGGTTGGACTCTCCTTCGCAGCACCCAGAAAATGACCCTTCAGGTAAGCCAATGGTCATTTTCCTGGGTGCCGCTTAGAGAGTCCAAGCATGGGACATACCCAAACTAAATGTCACTAGGGTGGGAAGAAGAAGCCTCCAGGGTCTCTCCGCTTGCATGGATGCCCTGAAGAACTTG